CCCCCCCCCCCCCTTTGTGGTGGTAGCCTTTCCAAATTATAGAGAAAGAATTGTTCCGTTGATTTCTTCCCGTTAGTGATTAATTGCTGAGAATCTTGCGGAAGAACGTTGGAGCGTGAAGAAATGGTCCTTCGATCGCCGAAGAAGAAGAAGTCGAAGACTTCAATTCTCCGTTCTTTTTTTTTTTTTTCATTTTTGCGTAAATCTGAATTGGGGAGATAGATGTGTTGGGATGATTCTTTAATGTTGGGTTTGGGCTCCGGCCCAAATTCAATTGCTTCCTTTCAAATTTGAGCTTCATTTTGGCTTTTTGCTATATTTTTCTCTCCAAAAAAATAAGATATCTGATAATTTGGGTTAGGAAAAATAAAAATAAAAGAATGTAAAAAAATGATTAAAAAACTACTATTTTTGAAAGAAAATTAAAAGATTGTAAAAATAAGAATAAAAAATAAAACTAAAGAAAACAACGGAAAATTAAATACTAAAAATATAAAAAATTCCTAAAAAAGAATAAAAAATACTAACCCAAAACCGGCTTATCAAACTTCCTGCAATTTTCTTCCGTAATCTTCATAAGGGCTTCAACTTCAATCCACTTGGTGAAATAGTCTATCCCCACGATGGCATATTTCTTTTTCCGGTTCCCTAGACAAAAGGACCCACTAAATCTAACCCTCATCTAGAAAATGGGATAGCTGTGGTGACAGGGGTGTAATAAGTGGATGGGCGTCTAAGGATAGAAGCAAGTGCTTGACAAGTGGGACACTTTCTCACCAATTCCAGTGCATCCTTCTTCAAAGTGGGCAAATAAAGCCCTTAGAGTATTACTTTTCTCGCCAAGGTAAGGGCACCTTGGTGGGCAGAACACACCCCTTGATGTACCTCTTCCAATATCCTTGCTGCTTCTCTTTCATTCAAACACTTGAGCATCGGTCTACCCAAAGTCCTTTTGTACAACCTCCCTCCATCCAATTGATACTTTGGAGCCATCAATTGGATCCTACGGGCCTCCTTGGGGTCAACAGGTAGCTCTCCCTTCTTAAGATATATGGACAGGGGGCTCATCCATGTTGCGCCTGGACCAGATATCTCAAATACAGGGACCGCCTCTTCCCAAACTGGACAGATATTTTTCATGTTGCCTTACCATGCTCTCCATGTGGACCGGGACGGTCCTACATAATTTGGCTAGCATATCCGCCTCCTCATTTTCTTCCCTTGGGACATATATCAATTTATAATACTCGAATTGCCTAAGTAAAGTTCTGGCGCAGTCCCTGTACTTCTTCAACCTTCTTTCCTTTGCCTCCATTTCTCTTTTTAATTGCCCAATGGCCAGTTTTGAATCTGACTTTATGCGAATGTTCTTCATTTTCATGAATAAGGCCACTTTGACTCCCCCAATGAGGGCTTCATACTCTGCCTCATTGTTGGTGGCCCGAAACATGAATTTGAATGCATTATAGACCTTGAACCCTTTCAGTCAGGTGAGGACCACTCCTCCTCCTGATTCGTCTGCTCCTCCTCTTGATCCGTCCTTAGTGCAAGACCCATCTGAATGCATTTCCCATATTTCCCTCTCTTGGCTCGTTTCATCTCCCTCGAGCTTCCCTCTAGCTGTAAATTCCACCATAAAGTCTGCAATGACTTGGCTCTTCTTGTTGGAGCGTGGCTGATAGGAAATGTCATATTGAGAGAGGACCATGGCCCATTTAATGACCCTTCTAGAGGAGGATGGATCCATCAATACTGCTCCCAAAGGTTGGGCCGTCATGATTTTTACTAGATGGGCTTGAAAATATGGTGTTAACCTTTTCACGGTCACCACCACTGCCAAAACACATTTTTCAAGAGGCATATACCTTGTTTCCAATCCTCTCAAGGCTCGTCTTGTGTAATAGACTGACTTTTGGGTTCCCTCTTCTTCCCTTCATAGGACCGAACTCACAGCTAAGTGAACCACTCCTAAATATAAGAAGAGAGTATTCTCTGTTATTGGCTTAGAGAGGACCAGTGGGGAGCTCAAATATTCCTTTAAGTGCTCGAAAGCCTCCTGACACTCAGCGGTTCACTGACAATTCCCTCCTCCCTTTAAAATTGTAAAAAAGGGCAGGGATCTCTCAGCAGACCGTGCCAAGGATCTTCCAAGGGCCGCTATCCTTCCTGCTAGCCTTCAAGAGATAGAGCCCCTCCTAAATCCTCCCATCCAGGTCTCCCTAGAATGGCACTATGGGCGCACTTGATATCAACTATAACAAAACCCATCTTCATATGCCTCACCTTTGGATGCTATCCTATTATGACGTCCAACTTAATTGACCCTTCCAGCTCGATTATGTCTCCAGTGAAACCAGACAGAGGCATATTGAGTTACGTGAGGTCTTTTGATTCCCAACTGTTGGGCCGCTTCCCAATACAGCATGTTGACATTACTCCCTGTGTCAACCAAAATCCGTTTCACAAAAACTTTATGAATAGCCATAGAGATTACCAGGGGTCCGGTGAGGGCTTGGAATGAGTGGCAAGTCCTCGTCCGAGAACACAATGGGCTCCATTCTCCCTTTCTTGGCAATTTGGCCCACATCAATGGACCCCACATATAACCTGCGGGCCCATTCCTTCCTTTCATTGGTTGTGGTTCCTGTTTCTAGACCACCAAAAATGACTCCTACATGGGGGAATCCTTCAGGGTTCTCCTGGACTTGCTGTTGAGGTTGGGCATCTCTACGCCAAACATTACCCACTTGGTTGGGCTCTTGGTTAGCCGTCGGTCCCCTCTCCTTCATCTGTCCTTCGATCTTCTTGAAGAACACACATTCCTCTGTAGCGTGCCCTGCCCTCCTATGGAAGTTACAATACTTGGCCGGGTCATAGGGCCACTGCTTTCTCTTTAGATCTCCGTGCTTTCTTTTCTCTCCACCCTCTTCTCTCCCTTTAATCTCTGCCACTGGGGCGGCCTCTCCCGATACTAGTGGCTTGAGGGTGGGGATGGAGAGGGTGGTTGCCCTTGCCTTCTCATTCTTCTTCTCCGAGCCCTTGTGTAAGGCTCCATCATTCTTGCTCTTTGAGCGGTCAGATTCCTCCGTGGCACAAAATTTGTTGACCCTAGCCATCATAGCTTTGTAAGAAATAGGGTTGTCGTAATCTAACCTTCGGAACAATTCTCCCGACCTTAGGACGCTCATGAACAGGGCAATGGAGGTTTTATCATCCATGGGTTCCACCTCATTGATTGCTTCATTCCACCTTTGCACCAACCTTGTATTAGTCTCCCCTTCCTTTTGCATCAGGGAGAAGAGGTGGGTAAAGTGCTTCTTTGGTTGGAAAATTCCACTATAGGCATTGAGAAAGAGTTCACCTAAATCCTTAAAGCAATCAATGGTTCGGTTTGGAAGGGTAAGGAACCATTTTATGGGCGGCCCTTCCAAGGTCCCCACAACAAGGCGACACTGGATCTCGTCTTTTACGGCACGCATCAATGACAGCTGTGGTTTTTCGGGTAGTAAACGTTCCCAGTAAAGGGTTAGTTTTCTCTCCGAGTGTCGTGTCTCTCGAGGAGTGGATGAAGGGAATTATTTTAATTACTTTTATTAGGCGAAGATTAGGATTAGTTTATGAAAGTCTTCTCGGAAAGAATATAAAAAGAGCGGAGTAAAAATAATAAATAAATTTCACATAGTATAAGTATAGATCTAGACCTAGGGTCTGGACATCATTTGGATCTATTTTATCATATTAAATTAACAATTGGAATAATAATATTTCTATTACTACTCATCCATTTCTAGATTTGTATTTAATCTGTTGCACTTGAATATCATAGCCATTTGACATACAATATTTTCTCAATAAATGGCCAATTAAATCTTACGAGTTTAATTAACCAAATAAGGCAAGAACAATAGATTAACCATTCCAACATTAATTTAACATCAAAAATAAACAATCAAACAAGTCCGGACCCAGAGATCCGTACCCTAACTCATACTAACAAACATAAATTAAAACGGCATTTTATTAAATAAAGAAACTTACAACTTTCGTACAAGCGGAGTAGAACAGAACTGGAGCAAAATTTCACCAAAAAATATTCTAAAACTACTAATATGCTAACTAAAACGGAGAATTTGAAATATGGAGCTCTAATCCCGAGATGGGGACTGAAGGTGATGTAGAATGAGTTGAGGGCCGCGCTGTATTGTATTTATAGGGTAGAGATACGGGCGTCCAACTCCCTGGGCGTCCAACTTTGGACGCCCGCGCCCTTAACACGTGTTCGGCCCAATCCGCATAGGCCGCGTGGAAAAGCCGTTTCACCTCAGGTATCTTGGGTGTCCAACTACCCCAGGCGTCCAACTTTGGACGCCCAGGACCCGAATCCAGCACCCATTTTGCTTCCAATTGCGGCTTCTCGTGATTTTGGGCCCGAAATTGTTTCGTATTGGCCTAATTGGCTCCCGGATGTTGATTTCTACCTCCGAAGTATTATGATCTTTAAAATCTAAAAGTTTTCATCCAATTTAGGACATAAAATTGACAAATTCACTTAATTTAATTTGGAACCCGTATTTTATTCTTCTTGAGACAAAACATAAGTTTTGTCACTAATAGACACTTTTAATGGGTAAATTTATTACTATTTTCATGCAATAACGCATAAAATATGTAGAATAAAATAAGAACAAAATGAACTTATCAATCCACATGTGAGTTTGGTATGCGGCCACGTGATCATTGGGGTTAGTGACTCCTTTGTAGTGGATCTCAGGGGCCTTCACGCCCCTAGGCAGCTTAGCTTTCATCACTCTAGCAGTAAATGGAGAAATTACCTCCACTGTGGGCCCAAACGACCAATCTTTGTCTATTTGCTTCTTCAACTCCTCTATATCCTCCTCAGTTTGAGGATATCCCTGGCATCTTCGTTGCTAGGGCACCAAGAACTTCCCAGCCTTTAGGATGCATTCTTGCGCATTCTTTTACGTCCATGGCTTTCCACCTCCTCACCAGTCACCCCTCCCTGGCTCGCTTCCCTCTGGTCCTTTAAGACCAGACCGCTTCTTCCTTGTTGAGCCATCCAATTAACTTTCGAACAAGGGGGAGTTGTTATCAAACCTTTCTCATGCTGCCTGAGAATCTGTTGGGACCGGATGAGAACTCTTAGGTGCCTTAGAGTATAAACTCTGCTCATAAGATTTTTCTTGCGTCTCATGCTTGGATTGAGAAAGGTTATGCCTGAGATCTTGTGGTGAGAGTTCATCCCTCCCTTCCAAACTAGCTCGCGCCTTAGCAGCAGTCCTGCTTCTCTTGGACCGATAAGTGGAATCTCTCTCTAACGGAAAGGGGGACCGATTTGTGGGAGCGATCCTCACATGTGGGATCGGTCCTTAGGGATGACCGATTTATGAAAGCGGTCCTCTTGGATGGACCGATTAATACCAGGAATCCTTCTGGATGGACTGCGAGTTTATCCCCGTCACTTGGATGGACCGCGAGTTTATCCCTTAGACAGGGAAAGGTTTGCCAAATGAATAGAAATGAGATAGGCTCGCTATCATCTTTCCAGAAGGCTAAAAGACTTCAATTGGTCCCACGGATGGCGCCAGTGATGGATGCATAATATTCTCCCTAAGACTACTGATCAGTCCAGGTCCAAATACTACCTCCGTCCCATTGCCTTTGTCTAGTTTTGACTTTTGGAACTGTTCATCTAAGCACTTTGACTCATCAAATTCTCTCAATGTGTAAGCCTAAAAATAGTCATGTGTGATCGTGTTTGATTCGTCTTAACATATAGATTATTAATATATAATTTTTATAATTTTTTAAATTACAAATTACAAGATAAAATGGATTAAAGAAGTTCATTGGATGGTGTGCCAAAAGGTAAGTGGACAAAGACAGTGGGACGGAAGGAGTATTAATTAGTGTCTAGGCCTTATAATAGTGAGAAAATAATATGAAAAGACTAATGGACTGTAATTAAAGGTATTGCACACAAAGTTTGAGCTCAAACAAGAGATCCTTTTCCTCTTTCGGGTCCACCTTGGGATCAGAATATGCTAAAGGACTGCCGAAATATTCTTTTATTACTCAAGTCTCTTCTCTCTCTATTACAAGTTATCCTTTCTGTCTAAGTTTATTCCTCTTTTATAGGAGCTCCCCAACCACCATCTCATCACATATTCGCGATGGTTGGGGAGGATATCCGAGCAATCCTCACTTTTCCCCGAAACACATTTCTTAGCTGAATGCCACCCACTTAAGGACAAATATGTCCGTCCGTCCATTATTCTCTATATCTGTCAAAGGAATAACTGTTCGTCCTCCTTTGAGAGGGCGGCTTTCCCTAATTCCTTTGTAGGGTTCCTTTCCTCTTCGTGGCCCGCTCTTAATGGGCTGGGATTCAGCCCATCCTTAGGTCTCAATCCTACCCTTTTCCCTATCTTGCCTCCTGGACCGTTCCTCTTTGTCGGCCCTGTACATTTTCTCTAGGCCGGGTCTTCCTTATAATGTACGGAACCTAAATTAGGCCAAGGTCCAATTTACTGATATTCTCTCGATGGGCTTGGTTCCCATCAATAAGTCTTTCAAAATTATTTTTTGTATCAATATCCAATATCATTTTTGTTTAATTTAGAGTCAAAGTTTACCAATTTTGACTAAAAAAGTCAAACGTGGACAAATACTCTGGAATGGAGGAAGTATTATTATTACTATTATAATTATTATGTCATAGAAGAATTGGGCCGTTTACAAAAAAAGAAAGATTTACTTGTCAAATCCATAATAAGTGTGAGAATTGAATATCCATATTTTACATTTAAGATCTTAAGATCATGAAAGAACAACTAGTATATAAACACCATAAAAAGCTTGAGCTTTTAATATTTGCAAAACAGAAAAGATTCTCGTGTAAAGCTATGAGAAAAAAAAGACTAAAGTAGGAGTAAAACATTGAAAATATATCAAAATAAGACCTTTTTGTTTTTATTCCCAAAATAGGAGTTAAAATGTATTTACATTATGAAACATGGTCAAGTACATTACCAAACGAACGTGGTCAATCCACCTTCTCACATACAACCGAACAAAAAGTGAACACGACACTACAAGCCCGTTGTACACACAAGTGCGACATTTGTAGTTTTCGAAATCAAAATAGTGATTGAACCAAGTGATTGGACAAACCTCTTCGGTTCAATCGGAATTTAAAAATACTATTTTCGCACGTAACTTATACTACCAAGTAAAATTTCATGTAGTCATATGAATGAATGAATCATTTGAAGCTTTTTCATCTTCTTGTTTAAATGAACATGAAGCTTTTCCTGTGCATTGCTGTTATGGTAGAACAAGAAGCTTTGTGTTGGGATTGTGTGCACTTTTGTGCTTTATGAAATACTTGAGCAAATATTCCAATTTAGAGACGTAGATTCTGAAATGTACTCCAAATATTTGTCATCTTTTGTGGTGGGGATTTACACAAATGCACTCCATAAAAAGAAGTTCACAGATTGAAAAACTCTTGTATAAGATTCTTTCACATTTTTAGTGATGGATGTACTGGGCCAAGACTGGGCCTATCTCGCAGAAGCCTTCAAGTACAAACCAAGATTCACTTCTAATTCTAATGCTTGTGTGATAATAACCCCCATATGAGTCCTTGACTTGAAGAGTGAACCAAAACGGAAACCAAACACTAAAGGTTCGAACCAATTTTTTCTATATTCAATTTCAATTTTTCGGCTCAACTTTTTTTTGAACTTGTTTAGATTGATTCCCCAACCCTAATTAAAGCTACTAGATGACAATTATGTGCAAAAAGATATGTTGAAGAGACCGTGCAGAAAGTGCAATAACCATTGGGGAGGTCTGAACAGGGTTCAAACTAGAAACCTTACAAATAGAGATTTTATCACTACAAGTATTGATAGAAACCACTATTTTGGTACATCAACCCAATTAACCGCACATGGGATCGACATTGCACCGAAGAGCGAAATCATAGTTGCAAAATGAAAATAAGCAATATCGTATAATCCCAGATTAATGGGGATCCAAGTAACTACCAATTGGTCAAATGGTAGCCAATTCAAATATACAAATCCTTAGAGCCAGTTGTTTAAGATGGTAATCAAGTCTGGGAGTTCAAAGATAGTACTTAAGTCTAAACAAGAATCAAACAGATAATAAACCTAGACAATTCAAGACATATTTGATCAAGCATTAAGCATCTTCATGGGGCAGCACAATCAGGGGCACCGGCACAGGCAGAGGTGACTCCAGAGTCGGGTGCAATCGTGTATAGATACACTACTGCGGCGCATGAGACCGCACACACTAGGGGAAAAACAACGCTCGTTTGTTACTGGATACATATTTTATGCCATCGATATATAGATTAAAAAAAGTAATGTAAAGGCTACTCACATGAAAAACCAAATCTGGTCATGTTCAGATTTCTCTTCATCAGAAGATTTCTTTGAACCAGTCCATCATGAATCTGAACCAGTTCGTCTTTGACCCCCCTAACCTCTTTTAGAATTTGATCATCAATACCCATCTACATTACATAAAACGCATCAAAAAATCAGAGCAATAATCTTGAAATGGCCCGTTACTTTATAAAAAAGTAAATGCTGCAAGAAATTGTTTCTAATATATAATTTTTATTTCTTATTGATATATCAATTTATAAATGAAATGATTTCAAAAAATGAAAGATTTTATCTCAAAACTCTCAATTTGCAATCAAAGTAATGACGGAGAGAGTTTGAATTATTGTAATTGGAATGCCTTAAATATAACGAAATTCCTCATAATTAGGCGTTCCTTAAAACAATTCCTGTTTTGACTTGAAAAAGATTTATTTTCATAGTTTGACCTTATAATTACATGCTTATCATTGAAGAAAAAAAGAGACTAATCTAGTCTTTTTCAATTAACAGATACTAAGAAAGTGTTGACAAAATACTGAATACCGAAAGCAAATGTAAAAACTGGCAGCAAATTCGATGTTATTCATGAATTTCAAATTCAAAACAACATCAAATCGGAATTTTGAATCATTAGGTGTTAAAAGTAGGGTTTCTAGGAGTTCATAGCTTTTTCAGAACCTATATGAAAAGGAAGCATAGTATAGGCGACGAATGTAGAGAATCAATCGAAAATCGCGAACCCTAGTTTGGCGATGAAGATAGATCTGGGAGCATGAGAGATTGAGAATCGGAGACGAAAGTGAGTGAGAAGATTTACCTCCGATGGTCGTCTTCTTCGCGGATTTTGAGGGAGGGGCAGATCGAAGAGAGATGGCGATGAAGCTCGCTGGAAGAGAGACTGAAGAGAGATTTCCAGAGGAAACCTAACGCGGCGTCTGTAAAAGTCGGGTAGGGGCGTAGGGCTAGTCCGCACTACTTTAAACGACGTCGTCGAAATACTGTTGCGGTTCAGTAACATCACTAGTCATTCATCTCTATTTCTCTTCCACACCATCTACTTTTTAATATTACACATTTACACTGTTAGAAATAAAGATAATACGAATATCGTTATGAACAAATGATAGAGATATACCTTGATAGCACAAATCAAAGATCAAAGTGCAATTGAGATTCAAAGGAGAAGAAATGCAATGAGATCAATAGACTAAGGAGAAGGATGTTCCTTTTCTACATATATATGGAGCCTCTATATATAGGCTTACAAAGGGGAATAGCAAAGGAAATGGAGAACATCAAAAGACATTTATACATAACACTCCCTCTTGGATTTTGAATATTCATCATTTAGGTAGACTTGAGCTTAAGACACTGCCTCGTTAAAACCTTGCTAAGAAAAACCCAATGGGACAAAAACTTGGACGAAGGAAAAAGAGTACAGTGCTTATAATGCTCCCCCTGGACATGGCAAAAGATCCTTGAGTTGACGCATTCCAATACCATTGATCATCTTCCTAAATGTCATGGTTGGCAATGCCTTTGTGAACAAATCCGCAAGGTTATTGCATGACTGTATCTGACGAACCTCAATGTCTCCACTTTTCTGAAGCTTGTGCGGATAGAAGAATTTTGGTGATATGTGCTTTGTCTTGTCGCTTTTGATGTAGCCACTTTTAATTTGTGCAATACAAGCAACATTATCTTCATAGAGTAATGATGGAGCCTTATTCAAAGATAATCCAGAAGTTTCTCGAATGTGATGAACCATTGACCTTAACCATATGCACTCTCGACTTGCTTCATATAGCGCCATTATCTCCGAGTGATTTGACGAGGTTGCAACTAGTGTTTTCTTTACTGATCTCCATGATATTGTAGCACCACCACAAGTAAAAACATATCCACTTTGTGATTTACCCTTGTGTGGGTCAGAAAGATAGCCAGCATATGCGTAACCAACAACTTGTGATTCCGAACCTTTTGAATAAAATAGGCCCATATCGGTTGTTCCACGAAGATAACGTAAGATATGTTTAACACCATTCCAATGTCGTCGTGTTGGTGGTGAGCTATATCTTGCCAACAAATTAACCGAAAAGGCTATATCAGGTCTTGTACAATTTGTAAGATACATTAGCACCCCTATAGCACTTAAATAAGGTACCTCCAGACCTAAAAGTTCTTCATTATCTTCTCGAGGGCGAAAAGGGTCCTTCTTTACATCTAATGATCGAACAACCATGGGACTGCTCAATGGGTGCGCCTTATCCATGTAAAATCGTTTTAGGACCTTTTCTGTATTTGTTGATTGATGGATAAAAATCCCATTCGATACATGCTCGATCTGCAGGCCGAGACAAAACTTGGTTTTCCCAAGATCTTTCATTTCAAACTCTTTCATTAAATAGTTTACAGTCTTTATTAACTCTTCTAGTGTTCCAAAAAGGTTTAGGTCATTTACATATACTGCTGTGATAGCAAATCCAACTTCAGATTTCTTGATGAAAATACATAGAAAAATTGGATCATTTATGTAACCTTCTCTAACAAGGTATTCACTAAGACGGTTATACCACATTCTACCAGATTGAATCCGTATAATGATCTCTGTAACTTGATTGAGAATAACTCACGAGCTTTCTGATTGCATGTTTCAATAATTTTGAACTGAGTACTTTATTCATCATATGTCGGGGTATTTATACATACACAGGGAGGAGGTAAAGTCTAGGTAAACAAGGTAACCAGATATTCTAAATAATAAGAGTAATATATCTGCCATATTTAACACTCCCCCTCAGATATATCATCGTTCATTATACACTAACAACATTATGCTATAGGATAATATTGGCTAGGTTCTTTAGGACCTATATTAACTGATATTGCAGGATCAGTTATGCTGCCTCCGTTGTCTGGTCGTGCTCGCTCAGTCGACTTCCAAGAAAAAGTCTTATCACCATATGTGAACACATTACCAATCTAATTTCACCCTTAAAATTTGGTATTGCAGGACCAAGTACTTCTTCGCCCTCTTTTGGGAGGCGATTAGAATGTTATGAATATATAAATGAATGAACAACCATGGGTATGTTCAAAGGATGCGCTTTATCCATATTTCAACGTGTTAACATCTTCTGGATGTAGTTTAACTTATGGACAAATGTGCCATCATATAGGTGTTTAAAATACAATCCAAAGTATAATTTATGTCATGTCAAGAACTTCCCTCTCAAATTCTCTCTTCAAGAGTTCAACAGTTTTTTTGTTTTCTCTATCTCTTCAGGAGATCTAATGATATTTATACGTCGACGTAAACTGATATAATAAGAAATATTGAGAGCGATCCTTGAATGACAACACATAGGTTGATTTCACACATATCTCGATGTATTAATTTTATTTCTTTTGGCATTTTGAATCCTTCAGGGATTATTATCACACAGATGTCGATTTCAAGTGTCCCTTATAATTATGTTATAACGACATCTATATCATTTATTTGAAGTCCTTTTGAGATTGCGAGGCCAATTAAAATTCTAAAAGGATATTGCATCCACTAGGGGAGAATACGTTTCCTCGTGATCAACTCCTGAGATTAGGGAAAAACCCTTGCCTTACAAGTAGTACTTCATATCGCACAATCTCATTCATTTTATTTCTGTTTATTACAGACACCCATTTTAAACCTATTAGTTTGACATCTATGGGTGTTCAGACTTCAGGTCCGGAAATATTCCTTTTATCGAGTGACTTATATTCGACCTACAGGGTCTTTTTCCATTTTGGCAAATCATTTATGTATTATCTACATGTACTCTTCTTTGAGTTTTAGGCATGTAATCATTTAATACAAATATCGTTATGAACAAATGATAGAGATATACCTTGATAGCACAAATCAAAGATCAAAGTGCAATGGAGATTCAAAGGAGAAGAAATGCAATGAGATCAATAGACTAAGGAGAAGGATGTTCCCTTTCTACATATATATGGAGCCTCTATATATAGGCTTACAAAGGGGAATAACAAAGGACATGGAGAACATCAAAAGACATTTATACATAACATACACCAATTTCTCTTTTCTAATCATTCCCTTACTTTTTAATTATTTTTTTCCACATGTCATTTCTTTATTTGTATAAAAAGTAATTAAAAAATTTGGTCAATATATTTTTCCTCTCGGTTTGACTTCTTTTTTGATTTCGGTTCAAGTTTGTATCAATTCGGCTTTATATTGGATCAGGTTTATATCGGTTCGGGTTTGTATCTCTTTGGGTTTGTATCAGTTCGGGTTTTATCAATTTGGATTTGTATCGGTTTAGATTTATATTAGTTTAGGTAATTTTAAATATAATAAATTAATAATATCACGTAATAAATTTAGTTAATTTATGACGTACTCTGTAGTTATTTTATTATTTAACACGGACGTACATAAAAAATAACACTTACATAATGACTAATTGTTAACATTCTAACGGTTTCCCTCCTAAAGTTTTCGGAGCGACTTTTTTAGGTAACATTCTACTTCGTACTTCTATTTTTTTTTAACTATCCATTTCACTTTGTGTGTCAAATATTTGAATAACTATATATAAAAATATATAATGAATTAAAATATACAGAGTAAAAGTTATTACCAAATTGTTGGTATAAAAAAATACTTTAAATGTATTATTTTTAATATTTTTGCTAATATTATTGAAGAAACAATGTTGGTCAAACTTTAAGCTCGAAAACGATAAAATACAAAAATACTTTAACTTAAGTTATAAAATGCGGAGTAAAAGATTTGTACATGAAAGTGGTGGTTGCACGGTTTGCACCCATATTTTAAATTTTTTTAGAAACATATCATTTGATAAATGAAATATTATTGAAGTTGATCAATTTCAAGTGTAATCGGTTTCGGGTCTAATCGGTTCCCAGTTTAATTGGTTTCGGGTTTAATCGGTTCGAATTTAATCGGTTCGGGTTAAATCGGATTTCGATCTGAATCGGGTCTGAATACATTCGGATCGGTTTGGAGCATTTTGGGTGTTCGGTTCTATTTCGATTCTTCAGTTTTCGAATCAATTCGGTTTCGATTCTAGGTTATTGGTTCAGGTTATCGGGTCCGAGTCAATTTTGCCTTGTCAGAAGTGAGGCTGAGGTGGATGTTTAGGGGGAGGCTACAAGGGAAAGCACCCATCTTTTTTATGACCGGAGCATCGTAGGTGCCGCAAACGAACTGGTGTAAATAAATGACACTAGTAGCACTTGTGTCATTTTAGATTTTCTCTATTTTATTCTTCGTAATAATTTAAGGTTACGGAGTCCTATTTTATAATTAAAATTTGGTTAGATCAGTTGTATATCTTATTAATTACTCTCTCCGTACCGAAATAGATTATAATCTTTCGGGGAAAAAACATGAAAGTCCTATTTTGGTACTTTTCTCTATGTTTTCGTACTATTTAGGGTGATTTCTATTGTTTCTAATATATAATTTTTATTTCTTATTGATATATCAATTTATAAATGAAATGATTTTAAAAGATGAAAGATTTTATCTCAAAACTCTCAATTTGCAATCAAAGTAATGACGGAGAGAGTATGAATTATTGTAATTGGAATGCGTTAAATATAATGAAATTCCTCATAATTAGTACTCCATCCGTTCCTTAAAACAGTTCCTTTTTTGACTTGAAAGAGATTTATTTTCATAGTTTGACATTATAATTATATGCATATCATCGAAGAAAAAAAAGACAAATTATTTAAATGACTTATTATATCAATGCAAATTGAATGGATTATATTGCAATAACTTAATTTAGATATATGAGTCATTTTTTCAAAAAAAAAAAGAACTATTTTTTTAGGGAAAACAAAAAATTGAAAGAAGAACTATTTTAAGGAACGGAGGGAGTAGTTAATTAAGATCGACTATTTAGTTACTCAGTGGGGATCCTGTACGATAAAAGAACAATAACTTACTATGTACACTGTAATTTATATGTATGTACATAAATAGTTATGGATATATATAAAATCTGTGGAGCCTACTGAGGGGCATGCAGAGGTTCATTGCAATTATTGTTAATGATATTATTATTATTATTCAACTTTCATTTACTACTATTTTTCCAATTACATCTATTTGCATGTGTATTTTTTCATTAATTATTTAATAAAATAAATTCTGGGGTATCATAATTTGGTTTGTAATTTTCTTTTTTGAAATATAGAGGAAAAATCCCCAAATGGTACTCGTAGTATTTGTTACGGAATATTCCATGGTAAGAGTCTCTTGTGCTGTATCAAACTGTCTATGACTACCTTCATCCAAACGTCTGATCTGTTGTTGTTTGGAATTAGAGGATTCACTATCAAAAAAAGTAAAATAGAAATATATTTAAGAGTCATGATCAAGAGCTGGTGATATTGACGGTGCTTATTTATTGATCTGAGCGCGTTGATATTATAAAAGAATTAGGCTTTTTGTGGAATATACAATGAAAGATTATGAGTTAATGATATTTAACGTGATTTGGATTTTATTCTTTATTGTCCCAAAATTAGGGTTTATGAGTTGGCATGATGATGTCTAATTTCCACTTTTGAATCCTCTTTTAAACGTCCTTAAATTGCGTAATTTTTTGGTCTTATTGAATTTATTGTTGTCCAAACGGGTAGTGACTAATGGAAGAAACAGGGACAATGGGCCTGTGAATTTGGGGGCTATAAAAAATATCCTCTCTTTTTTCCCTTGATTGGGATTTGATCGAAGCATTTATTTAGTATGTTTATTATGGACAAATCGATTTCAAAGTCAACATCTTTTAAAAACGAGAAATAAAGTGTCAGGAAGATTAATAATTATTAAATACAGACAAATAGAGTAGTTCTTTCTCTACCTATAATTTTTTTTACTGTTTGACTTTTCACTATCTGTAATATAACATTTTGAATTTAACATTTATATTTTTATATAAATATATATACATTATAGAAATACTCCCTCTGTCCTAAAGCATTCTTCCCGTTTCTGTTTACGAGGTTTGATCGACTTTATTTTCCATTCAATTTATTTGATTGTAAGTGTACAATTTAAAAATAAAATTTATATATTTAAAAACGACAAATGTTCTACAAGTACCAAAAAAGAGGTGACAAAACTATATTATTTTACCAAATAACTAACGAAAATTGGTAAAGAAAGTGATTAAAGTTTGACCATGTAGATAGTAGCTGAGTATAATACTTCAAAACTATATTTAAATATAAATCTATTAATATTAAATTGATATAACAATTTAATTTACTAATTCTATAATTTGTGGTAAATTTTTCTCGGTATTAAATTTGACCAAAAGGTGAAACTAGTAAAGAAATTATAAATGTAAACATTAAACTGGGTCGTAAAAAATTGATTTTTTTAATAGTAAAAGAGAAGAATAAAGTTAACTTTTATCATATCCTCTTTGAGATCATTTATGATCTCACTTTTTGCATATGTCTTGATCTCACCCTAATCATTATAAATACCCTGGAGCAGTATATATATATATATATATATATATATATATATATATATATATATATATATATATATATATATATATATATATATATATAATTACCCAGTGATTCCATCATTTCTCATTCTAACACCACCCTCCACTTATGACAATTAAACCTAAATATTCATTTTGATCCATACGTATTAATAAAAAAACAATATTGAAGTTGGAAAGAAATTTGCACTACTCCAATGTGCGGAGGATCCGGAGCATGTGAGGGAGAGGTACGGTGGGTATCTGCAGGTATACATGGCGATGCTGGCAGAGGAAGGGGATGAGTGGGCCCTCTTCCGCGTGTATCGTGGCGAGTTACCGGCAGAGGACGAGATCGACAGCTTCAACGGCTTCGTCATCACCGCTAGCAGTGCCAACGCGCACGACAATGACACGTGGATATGCAACCTCTTGAGTCTCGTCAAGAGGTTGGACTCCATGAAGAAGAAAGTTCTTGGCCTTTGCTTCGGCCACCAGGTAGCTAAGCTAGCTTTTTTTAAACTAGCTAGGTATTATAACATTTCCTATGCCTGCAATTATAAACTTAAGTTTTTGGTCGAATTTTTATTATTAAATAATCAAATAAATTCTGCCTAGCTTTTTCAAATTATTGAATTCAATCCAAGTGTCTTATGTCTCAATTTTATTTCATTATAAATTTGTTGTGTTGTAGACATTAGGTCGGGCCATAGGAGGAAAAAACAGGGCGGAGTGCCACTGGTTGGGACATTAGAGTGACCACCGTCAACTTTTCTAAGTCGTCGGAGCTTTTGAACTCCCTCAAAATGCCTCCTTTCCTCATCTTTCTCGAGTTCCACCAAGAAGAGGTTTGTGCATTATATTATTCAAAACTCTCTAAATTTTAACACCATGGTTAGGCTTAATTAATTTCTTCGACATTGAGCGTCAAGATAATTAATGGAATGACATCGGCCACCTACGGTGCTCCCTTCCCCTCTGATCCCTTCATCGTCGGTTTCGTACAGTACATGGGTTGAGGTGGAGGTACAGGGAGATCGAGGGAGTCAGGGAGGGTTCAATGTCAAAGGAACCCCACCAAATTTGATTGTGGAGTGCGTATTGATTAAGTATTGTTGTATTATTTAATATAATTTGGTTAGATAAAAGAACTTCCAGCGTAGGCGGAGATAATGGCAAGGTCGAAGAAGACGGGAATAGAGATGTTTAAGTATGGTGATCATATGATGGGCATTCAGAGTCACCCGGAGTACACCAAGGATATAGTTCTCGGCCACATTCATCGTCTTGCCAAACGCAACCTTATTCAGGTACGCATACATATCTAAATACTCCGTAATATAGAAATATTTGCACTCAATATCTCTAAAACTTAAGTCATTTCCCTAAATAGCACTTAAACTATTTTATTCCCTAAATAGAACTTAATAATGTCCAGAAGAAGGAATAATGTCCAGTGATGACGAATATCTACTTGAATAATGACTAATGGATAATGACTTAAAGTGCTACGTTGGAGAAAAAACACATATGATGCTATTTAGGAAAAGTCATTATGTTTAGTGGTATTTAAATAAATTTCCCATTAATATATCCTGTTTTAACTTTGATGACGATGATGACGATAGATTATATTAGGTAATTGTTTGTGTTGATGATTAACAAATAATCACATGAAAATGAAGGAAGAGATAGTGGTGGAGGCGAAGGGGAGGGTGGAGAGGGAAGAAGAGCTGAGGAACGAGGCTTGGAAGAAGATGTGCATTCGTTTTCTCAAGGGCATGCATGCACATATATACATCCATGAATCCATGCATGATATGCTAGATGATATATGATGATGATGAAATTAAATGTGATAGGACTAAAACGTAAGTCATTTCCCAATGTAGGACTTAATCTTTTTTTATTCTCCAAATAGGACTTAATAATGTCTAGTGAATATAATAATGTCCAGTGATAGTAGACATTTACTTGAATAATGACTAATGGCTATATTGGAAAATAAAAATATGTTGTCTTATATTGAGAAAGTCATTTTGTTTTAGTCCTATTTAAGTAAAGTCCTCATTATTTATATATGCATTATTAGTTTGACACTACCTCGAATATGCATCTTAAAATGCACATCACTTCAATTCAAACCAGTGCAACACCTACTATACTCTTGTTTATTTAATTTACAGTACACCTCGACCAAATTGTTAATTTGTTATTATTACTGTATTATTATACTCTGTTTTATATTACTATATTAATATTGTTATTGTTGTTATTGTTGTTGATGTTGTTGTTAGGATTATTATTGTTGTTATAAGGCATAGATCGAAATATTAGTATCCGAGCCTTATAATTACTAGTAAGAAAATAATTTGAAAAGAGTTATGGACTCTAATTAAAGGTATTGCACACAAAGTATGAGCTCAAACCGGAGATCCTTTCCTCTATCCGGTCCACCTTGGGATAGGAATATGCTAAAGAACCGCCGGAATATTCTTTTATTACTCAAGTCTCTTCTCTCTCTATTACAAGTTATCCTTTCTGTCTAAGTTTATTCCTATTTTATAGGAGCTCCCGAGCCACCATCTCATCAACATATTCGCGGTGGTTGGGGAGGATATCCAGGCAATCCTCACTTTTCCCCGAAACACATTTCTTAGCTGAATGCCATCCACTTAAGGACAAATATGTCCGTCCGTCCATTATTCTCTGTCTCTGTCCAAGGAACAACTGTTCATCCTCCTTTGAGAGGGCGGCTTACCCTAATTCCTTTGTAGGGTTCCTTTCCTCTTGGTGGCCCGCTCTTAATGGGCTGGGGTTCTGCCCATCCAAAGGCCCCAATCCTACCCTTTTCCCTATCTTGCCTCTTGGACCGTTCCTCTTTGCCGGCTAGTACATTTACTCTAGGCCGGGTCTTCCTTGTAATGTACGAAACCTAAATTGGGCTAAGGTCCAATTTACTGATATTCTCTCGATGGGCTTGGTTCCCATCACATGCCCCTTTTTTTACAAGTAAAAAAATAAAAAAAAATTGAATGTAGTACACCTTGTTAATTTCTTTTTTTTTCTGCGAAAGATTCCCCTTTTGGAAATGCTACTTTGTGAAAACGTTACTCTGCGTTGATTCCCTTGGAGGTTCCCCAATGACACCATTCTTATGGGCCATAGGAAAATTATTGGTGTGAGTGGGATGTACGTTTCCACACCCTTCCCATTGGACCGTAGTGTTAGTGGGCCCTTGTGTGACCGTTTGGCATGCAAAGGGTAACTGGACCGTTCTGATTCCTATGTCCAATTAACGTCCCTGTCCCACTTCAATAACAATGGACCGTTGGCTTGGGAAAAGACATTAGCGGTGGACCGCAGGCATGGGGATTGACACGGGATTGGACCGCTTGGAACTTGCGTCCACTTAAATGTCCCTCTCCCACCCCAATAATGGATTGAAACGTTTTCTGAAGAGATTCCTCTCGGAGTCCTTTCCCTACCATAACGGTATATGGACCGTTTTTTCTTCTTCTTTCTATTCTATATATACAGTTAGTTCCCTTCTCTTTTTCCTCACCCTTCATAGCGATCCACACCTTTTGCTTTTCTCTTCCCTATTTCGGCCCTCTTCCATCCCTCTCATCTCTCTTTCCAAAATGAAGAAAGCCATCTCCAAGGCCTCCAAATTTTTCAACGGTGACAAGAAATCTAAGGAGAATGAAATTGTCTCCTCCATCACTGCCGCACAATTGAAGGAGATGAGGGCAATGATTCCCCTCGATTGTGAAGTTTGGGAAGCCGAGGGGTCTACCTTGGAGTTCATCCACAACACTCCCCGCCGCTTGATCGTTCACTACGATTCGGTCAAGATGGGATGGCGTTTCCTGATAAGTCCGTTTCATTGTTATCATTTATATCATATTCTAAACATTATTGCACGTAAATAATATTTAATCATTTCATAAAATGTGATTTCAATGAATAAAACTCTCATTTTCGTTCTAAAGAGTCATTAAAAGGGATTCCACATAAAATCATCATAAATCATCCATTTTATGTTCAAATACTTGAGGAAAAGGAATAAATCATCAAAGGATCAAGATGTGGGCTTTAACGAGCTTCCAGGAGGATAAAATTGACGTTCAGGCCAAAAAGGAGCAAAAATTGGGCCAAGATCTCGCACCAGCCGCGAAGCCCAAACGGACCAGGGCCTAAGGCGTCCAACTTGGACGCTTGGCCAAGTTGGACGCTTGGGAGTTGGACGCCTTGGCTGGATTGCAGTCCAAGGAAGACACTTGGCAAAACCTGGTTGGCCAGAGCAGCTCAAGCGTCCCGATCTGGACGCCTGGACTTGGAAGCTTCTACTTGGACGCCTCGGCCTCTGTCCTATAAATACAGCACGATTCACCCCATTCCAATCATCACTTTCACTCCCATTCCTTCCTGCCCTTTTTCATAATTGGTTAGGAAAAATAAAAATAATAGAATGTAAAAAAAATGATTAAAAAACTACTATTTTTGAAAGAAAATTAAAAGATTGTAAAAATAAGAATAAAAAATAAAACTAAAGAAAACAACTAAAAATTAAATACTAAAAATATTAAAAATTCCTAAATAAGAATAAAAAAAAACCTAACCCAAAACCGGCTTATCAAACTTCCTGCAATTTTCTTCCGTAATCTTCATAAGGGCTTCCGCTTCAATCCACTTGGTGAAATAGTCTATCCCCAGGATGGCATATTTCTTTTTTCCGGTTCCCTAGACAAAAGGACCCACTAAATCTAACCCCCATCTAGAAAATGGGATAGCTGTGGTGACAGGGGTGTAATAAGTGGATGGGCGTCTAGGGATAGAAGCAAGTGCTTGACAAGTGGGACACTTTCTCACCAATTCCAGTGCATCCTTCTTCAAAGTGGGCAAATAAAGCCCTTAGAGTATTACTTTTCTTGCCAAGGTAAGGGCACCTTGGTGGGCAGAACACACCCCTTGATGTACCTCTTCCAATATCCTTGCTACTTCTCTTTCATTCAAACACTTGAGCATCGGTCTACCCAAAGTCCTTTTGTACTACCTCCCTCCATCCAATTGATACTTTGGAGCCATCAATTGGATCCTACGGGCCTCCTTGGGGTCAAAAGGTAGCTCTCCCTTCTCAAGATATATGGATTGGGGGCTCATCCATGTTGCGCCTGGACCAGATATCTCAAATACAGGGACCGCCTCTTCCCAAACTGGACAGATATTTTTCATGTTGCCTTACCATGCTCTCCATGTGGACCGGGACGGTCCTACATAATTTGGCTAGCATATCCGCCTCCTCATTTTCTTCCCTTGGGACATATATCAATTTATAATACTCGAATTGCCCAAGTAAAGTTCTTGCGCAGTCCCTGTACTTCTTCAACCTTCTTTCCTTTGCCTCCATTTCTCTTTTTAATTGCCCAATGGACAGTTTTGAATCTGACTTTATGCGAATGTTATTCATTTTCATGAATAAGGCCACTTTGACTCCCCCAATGAGGGCTTCATACTCTGCCTCATTGTTGGTGGCCCAAAACATGAATTTGAATGCATTATAGACCTTGAACCCTTTCAGTCAGGTGAGGACCGCTCCTCCTCCTGATCCGTCTACTCCTCCTCTTGATCCGTCCTTAGTGCAAAACCCATCTGAATGCATTTCCCATATTTCCCTCTCTTGGCTCGTTTCATCTCCTTCGAGCTTCCCTCTAGCTGTAAATTCCACCATAAAGTCTGGAATGACTTGGCTCTTCTTGTTGGAGCGTGGCTGATAGGAAATGTCATATTGAGAGAGGACCATGGCCCATTTAATGACCCTTCTAGAGGAGGATGGATCCATCAATACTGCTCCCAAAGGTTGGGCCGTCATGATTTTTACTAGATGGGCTTGAAAATATGGTGTTAACCTTTTCACGGTCACCACCACTGCCAAAACACATTTTTCAAGAGGCATATACCTTGTTTCCAATCCTCTCAAGGCTCGGCTTGTGTAATAGACTGAGTTTTGGGTTCCCTCTTCTTCCCTTCATAGGACCGAACTCACAGCTAAGTGAACCACTCCTAAATATAAGAAGAGAGTATTCTCTGTTATTGGCTTAGAGAGGACCAGTGGGGAGCTTAAATATGCCTTTAAGTGCTCGAAAGCCTCCTGACACTCAGCGGTTCACTGACAATTCCCTCCTCCCTTTAAAATTGTAAAAAAGGGCAGGGATCTCTCAGCGGACCGTGCCAAGGATCTCCCAAGGGCCGCTATCCTTCCTGCTAGCCTTCAAGAGATAGAGCCCCTCCTAAATCCTCCCATCCAGGTCTCCCTAGAATGGCACTATGGGCGCACTTGATATCAACTATAACAAAACCCATCTTCATATGCCTCACCTTTGGATGCTATCCTATTATGACGTCCAACTTAATGGACCCTTCCAGCTCGATTATGTCTCCAGTGAAACCGGACAGAGGCATATTGAGTTTTGTGAGGTCTTCTGATTCCCAACTGTTGGGCCGCTTCCCAATACAGCATGTTGACATTACTCCCTGTGTCAACCAAAATCCGTTTCACAAAAAATTTATGAATAGCCATAGAGATTACCAGGGGTCCGGTGAGGGCTTGGAATGAGTGGCAAGTCCTCGTCCGAGAACACAATGGGCTCCATTCTCCCTTTCTTGGAAATTTGGCCCACATCAATGGACCCCACATATAACCTGCGGGCCCATTCCTTCCTTTCATTGGTTGTGGTTCCTGTTTCTAGACCACCAAAAATGACTCCTACTTGGGGGAATCCTTCAGGGTTCTCCTGGACTTGCTGTTGAGGTTGGGCATCTCTACGCCAAACATTACCCACTTGGTTGGGCTCTTGGTTAGCCGTCGGTCCCCTCTCCTTCATCTGTCCTTCCATCTTCTTGAAGAACACGCATTCCTCTGTAGCGTGCCCTGCCCTCCTATGGAAGTTACAATACTTGGCCGGGTCATAGGGCCACTGCTTTCTCTTTAGATCTCCGTGCTTTCTTTTTCTCTCCACCCTCTTCTATCCCTTTAATCCTTGCCACTGGGGCGGCCTCTCCCGATACTAGTGGCTTGAGGGTGGGGATGGAGAGGGTGGTTGCCCTTGCCTTCTCATTCTTCTTCTCCGAGCCCTTGTGTAAGGCTCCATCATTCTTGCTCTTTGAGCGGTCAGATTCCTCCGTGGCACAAAATTTGTTGACCCTAGCCATCATAGCTTTGTAAGAAGTAGGGTTGTCGTAATCTAACCTTCGGAATAATTCTCCCGACCTTAGGACGCTCATGAACAGGGCAATGGAGGTTTTATCATCCATGGGTTCCACCTCATTGATTGCTTCATTCCACCTTTGCACCAACCCTGTATTAGTCTCCCCTTCCTTTTGCTTCAGGGAGAAGAGGTGGGTAAAGTGCTTCTTTGGTTGGAAAATTCCACTATAGGCATTAAGAAAGAGTTCACCTAAATCCTTAAAGCAATCAATGGTTCGGTTTGGAAGGGTAAGGAACCATTTTATGGGCGGCCCTTCCAAGGTCCCCACAAAAAGGCGACACTGGATCTCGTCTTTTACGGCGTGCATCAATGACAGTTATGGTTTTTCGGGTAGTAAACCTTCCCAGTAAAGGGTTACTTTTCTCTCCGAGTGTCGTGTCTCTCGAGGAGTGGACGAAGGGAATTATTTTAATTACTTTAATTAGGCGAAGATTAGGATTAGTTTATGAAAGTCTTCTCGGAAAGAATATAAAAAGAGCGGAGTAAAAATAATAAATAAATTTCACATAGTATAAGTATAGATCTGGACCTAGGGTCTGGATATCATTTGGATCTATTTTATCATATTAAATTAACAATTGGAATAATAATATTTCTATTACTACTCATCCATTTCTAGATTTGTATATAATCTGTTGCACTTGAATATCATAGCCATTTGACATACAATATTTTCTCAATAAATGGCCAATTAAATCTTACGAGTTTAATTAACCAAATAAGGCAAGAACAATAGATTAACCATTCCAACATTAATTTAACATCAAAAATAAACAATCAAACAAGTCCGGACCCAGAGATCCGGACCCTAACTCATACTAACAAACATAAATTAAAACGGCATTTTATTAAATAAAGAAACTTACAACTTTCGTACAAGCGGAGTAGAACAGAACTGGAGCAAAATTTCTCCAAAAAATATTCTAAAACTACTAATATGCTAACCAAAACGGAGAATTTGAAATATGGAGCTCTAATCCCGAGATGGGGACTGAAGGTGATGTAGAATGAGTTGAGGGCCGCGCTGTATTGTATTTATAGGGCAGAGATACGGGCGTCCAACTCCCTGGGCGTCCAACTTTGGATGCCCGCGCCGTTAACACGTGTTTGGCCCAATCCGCGTAGGCCGCGTGGAAATTAAAAGCCGCGTCACCTCAGGTATCTTGGGCGTCCAACTACCCCAGGCGTCCAACTTTGGACGCCCAGGACCCGAATACAAAACCCATTTTTCTTCCAATTGCGGCTTCTCGTGATTTTGGGCCCGAAATTGTTTCGTATTGGCCTAATTGGCTCCCGGATGTTGATTTCTACCTCCGAAGTATTATGATCTTTAAAATCTGAAAGTTTTCATCCAATTTAGGACATAAAATTGACAAATTCACTTAATTTAATTTGGAACCCGTATTTTATTCTTCTTGAGACAAAACATAAGTTTTGACACTAATAGACACTTTTAATGGGTAAATTTATTACTATTTTCGTGCAATAACGCATAAAATATGTAGAATAAAATAAGAACAAAATGAACTTATCAATCCACATGTGAGTTTGGTATGCGGCCACGTGATCATTGGGGTTAGTGACTCCTTTGTAGTGGATCTCAGGGGCCTTCACGCCCCTAGGCAGCTTAGCTTTCATCACTCTAGCAGTAAATGGAGAAATTACCTCCACTGTGGGCTCAAACGACCAATCTCTATCTATTTTCTTCTTCAACTCCTCTATATCCCTCCTCAGTTTTCGTTGCTAGGGGACCCAGAACTTCCCAGCCTCTAGGATGCATTCTTGCGCATTCTTTTACGTCCATGAGTTTCCACCTCCTCACCAGTCACCCCTCCCGGGCTCGCTTCCCTCTGGTCCTTTAAGACCGGACCGCTTCTTCCTTGTTGAGCCATCCGATTAACTTTCGGACAAGGGGGAGTTGTTATCAAACCTTTCTCATGCTGCCTGAGAATCTGTTGGGACCGGATGAGAACTCTTAGGTGCCTTAGAGTATAAACTCTGCTCATAAGATTTTTCTTGCGTCTCATGCTTGGATTGGGAAAGGTTATGCCTGAGATCTTGTGGTGAGAGTTCATCCCTCCCTTCCAAACTAGCTCGCGCCTTAGCAGCAGTCCTGCTTCTCTTGGACCGATAAGTGGAATCTCTCTCTAACGGAAAGGGGGACCGATTTGTGGGAGCGGTCCTCACATGTGGGATCGGTCCTTAGGGATGACCGATTTTTGAAAGCGGTCCTCTTGGATGGACCGATTAATACCAAAAATCCTTCTGGATGGACCGCGAGTTTATCCCCTTCACTTGGATGGACCGCGAGTTTATCCCTTAGACAGGGAAAGGTTTGCCAAATGAATAGAAATGAGATAGGCTCGCTATCATCTTTCCAGAAGGCTAAAAGACTTCAATTGGTCCCACAGATGGCGCCAGTGATGGATGCATAATATTCTCCCTAAGACTACTGATCGGTCCAGGTCCAAATATTAATTAGTGTCCAGGCCTTATAATAGTGAGAAAATAATATGAAAAGACTAATGGACTGTAATTAAAGGTATTGCACACAAAGTTTGAGCTCAAACAGGAGATCCTTTTCCTCTTTCGGGTCCACCTTGGGATCAGAATATGCTAAAGGACCGCCGAAATATTCTTTTATTACTCAAGTCTCTTCTCTCTCTATTACAAGTTATCCTTTCTGTCTAAGTTTATTCCTCTTTTATAGGAGCTCCCCAACTACCATCTCATCAACATATTCGCAGTGGTTGGGGAGGATATCCGAGCAATCCTCACTTTTCCCCGAAACACATTTCTTAGCTGAATGCCACCCACTTAAGGACAAATATGTCCGTCTGTCCATTATTCTCTATATCTGTCAAAGGAACAACTGTTCGTCCTCCTTTGAGAGGGCGGCTTACCCTAATTCCTTTGTAGGGTTCCTTTCCCCTTCGTGGTCCGCTCTTAATGGGCTGGGATTCAGCTCATCCTTAGGTCTCAATCCTACCCTTTTCCCTATTTTGCCTCCTGGACCGTTCCTCTTTGTCGGCCCAGTACATTTTCTCTAAGCCGGGTCTTCCTTATAATGTACGGAACCTAAATTAGGCCAAGGTCCAATTTATTGATATTCTCTCGATGGGCTTGGTTCCCATCAATAAGTCTTTCAAAATTATTTTTTGTATCAATATCCAATATCATTTTTGTTTAATTTAGAGTCAAAGTTTACCAATTTTGACTAAAAAAGTCAAACGTGGACAAATACTCTGGAATGGAGGAAGTATTATTATTACTATTATAATTATTATGTCATAGAAGAATTGGGCCGTTTACAAAAAAAAAGAAAGATTTACTTGTCAAATCCATAATAAGTGTGAGAATTGAATATCCATATTTTACATTTAAGATCTTAAGATCATGAAAGAACAACTAGTATATAAACACCATAAAAAGCTTGAGCTTTTAATATTTGCAAAACAGAAAAGATTCACGTGTAAAGCTATGAGAAAAAAAACTAAAGTAGGAGTAAAACCTTGAAAATATACCAAAATAAGATCTTTTTGTTTTTATTCCCGAAATAGGAGTTAAAATGTATTTACATTATGAAACATGGTCAAGTACATTACCAAACGTGGTCAATCCACCTTCTCACATACAACCGAACAAAAAGTGAACACGATACTACAAGCCCGTTTTACACCCAAGTGCGACATTTGTAGTTTTCGAAATCAAAATAGTGATTGAACCAAGTGATTGGACAAACCTCTTCGGTTCAATCGGAATTTAAAAATACTATTTTCGCACGTAATTTATACTACCAAGTAAAATTTCATGTAGTCATATGAATGAATGAATCATTTGAAGCTTTTTCATCTTCTTGTTTTAATGAACATGAAGCTTTTCCTGTGGATTGCTGTTATGGTAGAACAAGAAGCTTTGTGTTGGGATTGTGTGCACTTTTGTGCTTTATGAAATACTTGAGCAAATATTCCAATTTAGAGACGTAGATTCTGAAATGTACTCCAAATATTTGTCATCTTTTGTGGTGGGGATTTACACAAATGCACTCCATAAAAAGAAGTTCACAGATTGAAAAACTCTTGTATAAGATTCTTTCACATTTTTAGTGATGGATGTACTGGGCCAAGACTGGGCCTATCTCGCAGAAGCCTTCAAGTACAAACCAAGATTCACTTCTAATTCTAATGCTTGTGTGATAATAACCCCCATATGAGTCCTTGACTTGAAGAGTGAACCAAAACGGAAACCAAACACTAAAGGTTCGAACCAATTTTTTCTATATTCAATTTCAATTTTTCGGCTCAACTTTTTTTTGAACTTGTTTAGATTGATTCCCCAACCCTAATTAAAGCTACTAGATGACAATTATGTGCAAAAAGATATGTTGAAGAGACCGTGCAGAAAGTGCAATAACCATTGGGGAGGTCTGAACAGGGTTCAAACTAGAAACCTTACAAATAGAGATTCTATCACTACAAGTATTGATAGAAACCACTATTTTGGTACATCAACCCAATTAACCGCACATGGGATCGACATTGCACCGAAGAGCGAAATCATAGTTGCAAAATGAAAATAAGCAATATCGTATAATCCCAGATTAATGGGGATCCAAGTAACTACCAATTGGTCAAATGGTAGCCAATTCAAATATACAAATCCTTAGAGCCAGTTGTTTAAGATGGTAATCAAGTCTGGGAGTTCAAAGATAGTACTTAAGTCTAAACAAGAATCAAACAGATAATAAACCTAGACAATTCAAGACATATTTGATCAAGCATTAAGCATCTTCATGGGGCAGCACGATCAGGGGCACCGGCACGGGCAGAGGTGACTCCAGAGTCGGGTGGAGTCAGTCGGGTGCAGTCGTGTATCGATACACTACTGCGGCGCATGAGACGGCACACACTAGGGGAAAAACAACGCTCGTTTGTTACTGGATACATATTTCACGCCATCGATATATATATATATATACATATATATATACATATACATATATATATATATATACATATATATATATATATACACATATACATATATATATATATATATATATATATATATATATATATATATATATATATATATATAGGGATTGACTCCGGTGAGATGACACCTTGTGGTAAGATGACATGTTTCAGTCAAATGACGCTGGAGCTCACCACTGATCACTGCAAAGCTCACCACTGACCACTGCAACACTCACCACTGTCCACTGCAAAGCTCACCATGATTTTCCAACACTTAACTTTTTTTTCAAAATTTGATGGTTAAATGCTTACAAAGCCGAACAACAAAGCTCACTAACTCTCATAGCAAAGCTCACCGAATATGTGCACAAAGCTCACCACACTTAAAAGTTTAAAATGATTTCGAAAAAAACAAAGGGCGGTGGTGCTGACTTCCAACCGCTGCAGACTACCGCCGTGGACTGGTGGTTGTCCGGTGGTGCAATTTTATTAGCGTTTTTTTTAAAAAAGTGGTGAGCTTTGCATTGTTTCTTGGTGAGCTTTCCATTGAAAGTTTGTGAGCTTTGCATTGACACTTGGTGAGCTTTACACTTTGACTGCTCATGACCAATGGACACCCCAGATGACCCCCACTGTTGCCGTGGACCGGTGGTTGAGCAGTGGTTGACTGGTGGTTGAGTGGTGGTGCTATTTTTTAACTTTTTTTATTTCAAAAAAAGTGGTGAGCTTTGCATTGACAGTTGGTGAGCTTTGCATTGGCAGTAGGTGAGCTTTGTATTGGCAGTTGGTGAGCTTTCCATTGGCAGTGTTGTGTGTTGTGTCATATATATATATATATATATATATATATATATATATATATATATATATTTATGATTGACTTCAGTGAGATGACACCTTACAGTGAAATGACATGCTTCGTTCAGATGACATAGAGCTCACCACACTACACTACAAAGCTCACCAATGGACAATGCAAAGCTCACCTGTAAATATAGCAAAGCTCACCACTTTGAACCCCAAAACTCACGTTTTTTTAAATTTTAAAAATTTAAAAATTATTTAAAAATAAAATAACAACACCGGTCAACCACCGATCAACAGCGTCGGTGGTGACCGGCGACGACGGGCGGCCGAAGTGTGGCGTCGTCGGCGGCGGGATCAGCGGCGGGATCGGCGGCGGGACCGGTGGTGGCTGCCGGACTCCGGCGGCAGCGGCAGGCGGCGGTCAACAGTTAAAGTCCAGTCAGCACCCCTTCCTTTGATTTTATTTTTTGAAAAAAATTCAAAGTGTTGAAAAAATATGGTGAGCTTTGTCTTACAGGTGAGCTTTGTAGTTGTCTTTGGTGAGCTTTGCAGTGGCCAGTGGTGAGCTTTGCGTCATCTGATCGAAACATGTCATCTCATTGGAGTCAATCCTTATATATATATATATGATATATATATATATATATATGATATATATATATATATATATAATATATGATAGATGTTAGGGTTTGTAGAGAGAAGGGAGAGCGGCGTCCCCTGGCGGCGTTCCAATGGCGTCGATCGACGGGCAAATTACAGAAAGGGAAGGGCTCTCCAACTAGGATCTTGGTATTCTCATGAAATCAACTACAACCCGAGGTCATTTTCCGATCGTTACTGGAAGAAATCGGGAAACAGGCGTCTTTGGAGGAGACAAAACTCAGGGCCCTTTAACAACGCAGATGGGTTGATTTCAATCTCTATTGAAAGCAAGGACTTTGAATTCTCAAATGAAGGGAAGAACATCACAATCACCGAATCTAAATCAGGTAAAACGCGATTCCTGACAATCTCTAGGACTATTGCACACTGGTTGGTTGATACTATTAGCAGGCGAGATTTCTCAATCGAAAATTGGGAAATTTCTAGATATGATGGCAATTTTTCCGTCACAGTTTCTTGGGATTCAAATCATTTTGGTCAGTTTGCTCGTTTATGGTCAAATATAGGTGTTTCGCCCTCACAGATTATCATTCCAGCCGGCTTTTCCTTAGAGGGGCTAAAGCTTTTCTGTAAGGGTTTGTCTGAATTGCTCAAGAACACAAATGGGGTAAGCATTCAATTGCCACTGCCAGAGCCAGAAACTGTTCGAGAAGGTATCAGGTCTATTATAGGAGACAAAGATGAGGGATGGAGATGTTTTCAGGGAATAGCAACCGATGATAGGGTGGATGAAGAACAACAGCATCATGAAAATAGACTCTGTATAGATAAGACTATGGAAACAGAGGTGGAAAATATGCAGAAGCACACCTCATTGGCAGAGGTTCCTATAGACCAGGACTGCCTGAAGATATTTCATCAAGTTATTCGGGATAACATTAATCTCTTCAAGAAATCAATGGCTAACAAGTAGTTCCTGGATGCTTTAAACAAAGGACAGATTCTTAGTTACTCAGGGGAAGTCATTAGGGTTACAAGGGAGGCTATGAAAAGCTTTGAGTATATTGATGCCGCTACATTTGCAGGAGCAAGATACCCGGTCTACCTTGCTTATGCGAATGAAGACATGGATATTGTTCTAGCTCACTTATGTGATGATCAGGATTGATTGAGGATTTCACTGTGGGCACGGGTCTTTTAACTTTCTTGGCCTTTCAGTTTTGCTGTTTGATGTTTTGATCATCTACTGTCTTACCTGGGGTTTATGGGATGGGTAGTCTTGGGCAACGGTTTCTTTTGAGAGTAACCTCTTAATTGCAGTTTATTAACTCGGGAGTTGGTGGATCTGTTTTACTCTCCATGGGAGCTAGAGTTGAAGGCTAGTGTGCATCTTTGTTTTTGCACATTCAATAACTTGTTCTCTGATTATTGCTGGAATCCCCTTTGGCTACTGATCCTCGTCGAAGGAATAGGCTGCAGGACAGGGAACCATTGCCACATATCTCTTGGGATCCTGCTGGATGGAAAATTATGAGCTTTTGAGTATCTTTGGGTCTTAATTGTCGTTTGTCCATCCTCATTTGTTTGTTTGTGCTTAGGGTCTTTATTATGCTTTTGGAGTCTTCGTTTTGGCATCTTGTTGAGGTCGGTCAATCACAAAGGCCTACTGGAAAGACAATCACAAAAGCCTGGGTCCTATTAACTGCTAGTTCCTGCTATGATGATGGTCCAAGAGGAAATAGATATTTAGGTGTTGTACTTGGGGATGTGCCCCCCTCCTTTTGGATTTTCCTTTTGTATTGGCATTGTTGTTTTTGCTTTGGCCTTTTGTCGGGATTGGCCACCCCCACCCTGTACTCTTTTCCTTTTCAATAAGATCTTAATTAAAATATATATATATATATATATATATATATATATATATATATATATATATAGACACACACACACACACAAAGGATGGCTAATTTCTTTTGGGGCCAACAAAATGGTTGGCCCAAATATCACTGGAGAGGCTGGACTAAACTTTGCCTCCCAAAGGATGCTGGCGGTCTTGGCATCAAGAATCTGGCTACTATGGAGGAAGCCTACTCATCTAAGCTTTGGTGGAAAATTCAAAATGAGGAAGGCTTGTGGCCAGTTTTCATGAGAGCAAAATACTTAAAGGATGGGCAGGTTAGGGAGANCTCAAGGTTCATTTGGCACAAATCCCAAATCCCTAAACTCCAAACTTTCATGTGGCGCTGCCTTGATGGAACTCTCCCCTTCCCCACAAACTTAAGACGGTTCCATCTAATGGCCCCAAGTCAATGCCCCTTTTGCCTCTCCAATGAAGATGTACTTGATCATACCCTCCTCAACTGTAATTTCAGCAAAGGGATATGGAACTATTTCAGGGATATGTCTTCTGGTCCTTTGTACTCAGCCAAGCTATCCCTCAGGCAACATCTTATTGTTTGGTGGATCTCAGGTGACTCTAATTCCTTCAAAGGGAATGTGAGACTCATTCTTCCTGGCATCATTACTTGGACCATTTGGAAGGCTCGGAATCTACATATTTATGATGATTAGAGGTGCACCAAGGAGGGGGTGATTCAACAATGCTTCAAACAACTTCAAAGCTGGTGTTGGGTTAACCGGAACAAGAAATGGATGATCCATGATGAAGACTTCACCGGATGGGGTCTGGACCAGTATTGGAGAAATGGAAGGAAACTGTTGTGTATTGTTTAGCACGTTTTTCTCTTTCTTCTTGTATTCCTTTTCCTTCCTATTTTTTTTAATAAAAGTTTTCCTTAAATATATATATATATATATATATATATATATATATCTATGTGTGTGTGTGTTTATATTTATATATATATATATCTTTATATATATATATATATATATATATATCTATGTGTGTGTGTGTTTGTGTGTGTGTGTGTATTTTTTTTTTAAATGGAAAATTATTATTAGAAAAGAAGAAGGAAAAGTACAAATGGAGGGGGCTGGGTGAACCCCAACAACAAGCCCAAAAGAAATACCAATCCATGTAAAAAAACAAGGTGAGATGCTACAACAAAAAAACGGGTACATGACAAGGAAAGACGGACAGTAAAGGGGATGCCTGCCCAAAAGTAATATGCAAGGGCTAAACTTCAAGCAAAAGAAGACAGACATGTAGTAGCAGCTTTAATTTCAAATAGTTCCCCTGCCATTCTTAGCCCTGTCCAAAATGTGTTGAAACAAATACATGTGTGTTGGTGACATCCATCCAAAGAAAGCAAGATGTTGTGAACGATTCTGCCAAAACCAAGTATGCCAGGTATCATACTGTCACCAATGCTATGTTAATAGTCCATCTTTGTGAGTGAAAAAAGTAGTGCTTCTCTAGATCCAAGCCTCAGCGCAACTAGGACCAATGCACTGCCAATAAGTTCTTAACTCACCAAGACTTAGACAAGTCTTAAAGTGTGAATATCATTATCAAGAAAGATCAAGCAAATGGTAACTTCTGGTTACTAGACAGAATCTTCAATAGGCTTGAAGGAATCATTGCAAGCTCTTCTTCTTCTTCTTTTGAGCTTTTGAACGCTGTCTCCCTTTCTTTTTTGGTTTTGGGGCTTGTAGTGAAAAGTCCAACTCTTTTCCACCTTTAATTGGTCGACAGATATTTTCCAGAGCACCTTCAAATTCACTAACAAAATTGTCATCAGATTCGGAGACATACCTGCCCAAAGGGAGAATGCTATTACACGAGGAAAGAACCTTGGCTTTACTACGTGTAACAATCTGCGAAGGAGAGAATAGTTTCCTTCGTTTAAAGACTTTTGGTAAATCCATAGATATTTTCGAGCATTTAGAAAGATCAATTGCTAAAGGCCTTAGCTTTGATACACAGAATGGGGCATCTTCAACATCCGAATGGTTGTACCAAATGGGTTCGTCACTTGGGGACAATCTCTCTTCAAGAGCATTAAAATGAAGAACCAAACTTTTCTCATTGAAATGTTTGAAAGGATCCTCCTCCATAACATTTTCTTCTGTTCCAAGATGTGAAAGAGTGCTGAAAGAGTTGGATTGGGGGATAAATTCCATTGCAAAGGGGGAAAGGGGCTTATGGACTTGATCATCCCTACCTGCTATTGCCTCCCTACCCTTCGAGGAATCAACATTTCCACTCTCGGTAACCAAGGAGCAAGAAGAAATGTCAGAGTTCTCTCGATTCTGAACAGATTTTGGCTCCCTTATTGCCTCTGTGACAGTTCCTACAACAAATTGGGTCTCTGCCAAATCACTGTCCTTGTCTCCTTGGGAGTTATTACTGCTCAAATCAGTTCCCAGAGACTCATTAGCACAACTACTAACTCCCTCGTTTTCTGCAACCTGCCGGAGTGAAGACTTCTCTGTAAACACTGAAGTTACAGCTCCTAAAGCTGCAGGATGGGGAGTGCTATGTGAGAGGTATACTGAAGTTTCCAAGATGGGGTGAAGAGAAGGAACTTGACCTTGAAGGGCAGTAAAGACAGTCTTATCTGGTGGCCTATGAGCTTCAATCTTAGTGATCTTGTCAAAGAAGAATGATAAAGTTTTAGAAAACAAATTAATTTCCTCATTCCTATGACCAAAGGGGATTAAAATGAAACTCATTCCTTCTCTTCTTTTCTCTTGAATTTTAATGTAATCACCCTTTCTATTTGTTCCAGCAGAGACTTCAATTGTACGAGACTTACCAAATGAGAAAACAGCCCAGGATCTATTAACAGTGATTCTAGGAATAGATTCCAGCAACCAACGAATTGTATCCAAATCAAACCAAATCTGGAATCTTTTGTACCCACACTCACTGATGCAAATGTTTTGATTGTAATGGGAGTGAAATAGTTCAAATACCTTTGATTGAGTTTTGAAGGAGAAGGTGGAGTTACGGCTTGAAAGGTTTATGGCAGGTCTTCCACCATCTTGGAGCAGGCGTGTGCTGGTGAGGACGTAGGAGTTCATCAATTTTCTCGAATTTGGGGATTTTAATGGCCATCTTCTTCGCCGATTCCATTGGTGGATATCCCTGGAATTTGTATAAACTCCTTCTCTTCCACGAGTATGTGAAGACAGCCGGTGTCTTGCACAATTGGAGCATCGCCAAGGGATTAGGTTTCCACCGGAGCTACAAAGTGTGGCGGTGTTATGAGATTGTCGTCGCCAACTAGAAACCACGCTCCGCCCGCACCTGCTTCTCTCTAGAAACTCCATTTATTATATATATATTGTTTATGTATGTATATATATATATATGTAACACCCTAATCCGTCCAGGTCTGCAACCCTTTTCGGACTAAAGTATTAACTTGGTAATCGTAACAATTTAAAACTTTTTCAAACACTTTTTATTTATCACAATAATATTTTTCATACATATACAGTACAGAGTATTCAAAAATATTGCGGAAGCGAATTTAATATTGACATATCATAAATCATTTCAAACTTGTCACATCCATCCCGACAATCTCGCCCCATTTGCCACCAGGATCGCATTAATCTTTCTGTTTACCTGCGTGTAGCAAATAAAACACACTACACGCTCAGCGGTAAAGCTGAGTAAGAATATCTAATGCGTCGAACATCCATATAAACTGAATCTAAATTCATAATCAAATCATTTGATATCATGCACACAATGTTCATTTCAGACATTCACAGTTTTGAAAATGTTTAGTTCATATCAACACATTTTATTCAATTCAGATATTATTCCGACAGTGCCCTTAAATTATTCTTAATCTAAGGCCAAATAATAACAATGCTCTTAGCTATTCTTAGTCTAAGGCCATATCATAAAAAATGCTCTTAGCTATTCTTAGTCTAAGGCCAGATCATAATAATGCTCTTTAAAAGGCAATTAATTATCAGACACTTAAACTATCATTAGTTTAAGGCAATCGATTTCGGACACTTAACTGTAGTCAGCTAAGGCAATCAGACACTTAAACTATCACTAGCTTAAGGCAAATGATTCAGACACTTAACTGTAGTCAGTTAAGGCAACAACAACAATATAGCAATTGATCAACATTAGATCGAGCATTCCCAAACGAGTAATCCTCTAGCTTGGTCTACGAATCCCGTTTATATGTTTTTATCTAATTCATCGAATATTCATGTTTCACAAATCCATACTAATATGAGATCTATTCTAGAGGTCTTCTAGATAGCCTTAACATCAATTCTCTAAATGTGTATATCTTAGAGTTCCTCTAGATATTTTTAACACTATAAATCATTTCATAATTATAACTATATTCATTTTATTCATGATTCAATCATAAATACTTATTTTAATCAGTAGGTTCATTACTGATAATCATCCATAATATTCATTTATCATAATCATCAATTAACATAACAATTGATAACAAATAGCGGCCTAGCTTCGAGTGTTAACACCCGAACTTACGGTCATGCAACACATAACATTTTTAGTTGTTAAAAACATCATTTTTATTGTGGTAAATCATTTTTATAATGATCCTAATCAATTGATATCAAAAATAGGATTTTAGAGCTCAAAAATAGCATTTTCAGACAAATTTTCGGATCAGGACTTCGGGGGATCGATCCAGCCTTCTGGATCGATCCATACTATGAAAAATCACTCCCAGGGGATCGATCCAAGACCCTGGATCGATCGAGACAGTGGTGTTTCAGCCACTGTTCATCTTCTTCTTCGTTTGGGTCCAATTTCGGAAATACCGTTTTTAGTTATCGAACTTCAACGAAACTATATAGAGATGTTCTCCAAGGTTCATAGATCATTTTGGCATCATTAATTCATAGTTTTAACATCAATTCCATGGTTTATGATTCTTGGTTCTTCAAGCATGTCAAACACAAAACTCAACCAAACGAGTGTTTATGAACGTAGAAACGATCTATACGAACATTCTAGTCATTAGATATATCTACGGGCTTACCTCGAAGGTAAATGAAGGTTTTGAATATTTTCCGGCAAAACTTCTGGCAACGATTACTCCCAACTCCGGCGACCTCTCACCAAATTGACAGTACTACAACGTTCTCCTTACTTTGAGCAACAGAATAGAAGAAGGAAGTATATGTTTTGGTGAAGAATTGAGAATGCTTAGCTCCCTTTATATAGTGGATTTGAGGGAGAAGAAGACACTGGTTGGTGAGCGTAGGAAGATTCACAATCGGCTTAGTGCGCAGGCGCCGTTCGCACAGTGTCCCTGATTGGGACCAATTTTGGTTCCAGTTGGGGTACACTTTTTGGTTCAACTTTCTCCGAATTGAATTCCGTTTGCACCGTTGTGATCGGGCAGTTAAACTCTATCTATTGATATAATTTTTATATTTATTTGTAATACTTTTTCCGACATCATATTTTTGGGTGTTTGACTTTGACAGAGTCAAAATTGATTTAGTTGATCTTTATTCAAAAAGGTTTCTCACATTTAATTCATATAATTTGTTCTAATGATTTATTTCAATAAATCATTTCAAAGTTCACATCATAATAATTTCTTCATATATTCTTGATTTGGGTCTGTACACAGGTTCCCAATCAAGATCACATAATTAGTCAATATTTTGGATTTATCTCTATGAGACTTATCCTGATTGTAATATTCAATATTCAAACATATTTCATTTTGGCCCAAAGCCTAACAAACATTTATTCTTAATTAAAACAAATTTGATTAATTGATTATTTATTTATTAATAATTCTAGGGTGTATTTTGGGGCATTACATTTCTTCCCCCCTTAAAGGAATTTCGTCCTCGAAATTCTCCTAAGGTTCATAATTGTCATCATGACTGCGTCTCGTTCACATGGTTACGTTGTTATCTTACAGATGCGTATTCTCAAACCGTTGATGTCACTAAACTAGTTCAACATTTAAGAGATTAACAAACTTCAATTAAGCAAGGCATTTATTGATCCTTTCAAAAGTTTCCTTGAGAGTGTGTAGTATTATATACTTGACATATTTGCACCTAGCTTTGTTAAATCACGAGTCTCGTTTGTACATCATTGATCAGCAGAAATCTTTTCTCGATCGAAAAGTTCCTCAATAGCATTTGTAGAAGGATCACGATTTAGAGAAAATTTTAAACCATACATCATTACGTAATCTATCAAATTACTCAAGGGGTCGTTGTCTTAGGGCCATAGTCGTATTTCAAGACAGCGGATCTAACTGTTCATGAGTCTCAATGTATCATATCGTCAGCAAACTGTAGTATTAGTGAACATATCATTGCCAGTAGGTAAATTGAATCTATAGTTGCTGTACAAATTTCGGCTGAGGATACTTCCCTTTTTCTCAAAGGTCAGGTTTCAGGGCCTATATATATCACAATTGTGGCAAGAGTATCTCACATTCTCACAATATGGAAGGAACTTCTTGAACTTTTCCTTACACCATAAAATTTGTTGGTCTACTTGGTAGTCATGCTCTTGGTAGAAATCCAAGATTCATGGCTACGGCGGTAGATTTAGGAAGAGAATTGGTAAGGAGAAAAATAAGGCTTACATATGGAGGAGGCAACGTTGGCCTTCAAGGAGCTGTTGCTTCAACGGTCTATAACAATGGTGGTATAGTTAGAGGCTTCATTCCAGGGTACATAGCGACACGACATGTGTACGGACCTACGTATGGTGCAGAATACACAGTTTCCAGCAACTACTATAAGTAATTTGAGATGAATCATGTTGTGGAAGCCTTCATCGTACTTCCTGGAGGGATTGACACTATGGAAGGTTTGTTCACTTTGATCTCATGGGCATCCGAAGGGTTGCACAGTAAACCCATTGGTCTTTTGAACATTGATGGTTATTTCAATAACCTAATTAAGTTTCTAGATGATGCGGTGAGGCAGAACTTCATGGCCTTGAATCAGAGGAAGCTTTTTATTTCTTCTTTCTTTATTGATGAACTTTTAGACAAGTTAGCGTTTGCTAAAGCTTTTCTGGGTCCTAGGGCTAATTATGACGAGTTTGTAAATCCCGGGGATTAGATTTAGAATTACATTTGTAATATTACTTTATGTATTTCCAGTTGAATTTATGATGGAATAATATTGTCTATGAACATTATGAGTTAACCATAAATATTATTCTAACTTGCATGGCCAATGCAAGTTAGAAAAATATCTATTTTCAACATCAGAATGCATCATGTAAATATCAAATATTTTCTCAGGATGAGTCAAATGAAAGATTTTATTATACAAAGTGTTCAATACACGAAGATTCTAGAAGTTACGAATATTCTTGGGATACAATCGAAAGATAATTTCTTGTTTACATAAGGTCTCTACATTATTCAATATATCTCGAGCCCTTGTAGCACTTTAGGATCTTCACAGAGTATCATCCTTGGGTTGGATTCTTTGAATTGTTTTGTGTTTTAGAACATTGACTTGTTCCTGATCGAACAGGTTGATTTTGGACAGAAGTAACCGAATATGATTTAGGGTTAGAGGGACATTCTCGTTGGAAATGTCCAGGTTTACCACAACTTAGACATAATCCTTGCGCACGCCAGCAATCTCCTGGATGGTGTCTTTTACAAACGTTACACTTTGGATGTTTCCATACTCTCATTTTGTTCATGGATGACGTCGATTGAATTNTCCTTGGGTTGGATTCTTTGAATTGTTTTGTGTTTTAGAACATTGACTTGTTCCTGATCGAACAG